TGACCACCTCGAGGCACCCCCAGACACCCCCTGAACACCTCCAGACACCCCCACACACCCCCTAAACACCTCCAGATACACCCAAGCTCTTGAACACTTCCAAGTACGCCCTGAATTCCTTCAGGTGCCCTTAAACACCCCTCAAACTCTTAGTGAACAGCCCCAAACACCCCCAAAACTCCTCTGGGTATCCCCCAACATGGGCTGTTTTGGGAGCGATGCTTGCCCAGTTTCCAGTATTTTTCCTCCCTTGTGTGTTTCCTCCCAATATTTTTCCAGGAAAACCCTGAGTGCCTTGGCCTTCTCGCCCGACGGGAAGCTGATTGTCACCGGAGAGGTGGGGTTGCCGCTTGTTTGTCGTCACCTACACCCCAATTTTGGCAGCAGGATGGAGTAGCCAGGATTATTTCCTGATTTTGGGGGGTTTTCCACCCAATTAAGGAGGGTGGGAACACCGGTGAGGGTTGGAAGAGCTGCTGGGCCGCCGCGGGGGCTGGCGAGAAGGGGCAAAGGAAGGGGCAAGGGGACACGGCTGATTTTCTTCGATTTTCCTGGATTTTCTTCTGGCAGAATGGCCACCGACCGGCCATCCGCGTGTGGGACGTGAAGGAGCGGGCGCAGGTCTCGGCGCTGCAGGGTCACAAGCACGGGGTGGCTTGTGTGGCCTTCTCCCCCAGCGGCAGGCACCTGGTGTCCGTGGGGCACCCCCACGACATGGTGGTCAACGTCTGGGACTGGAAGGTGAGCTTGAAATTCCCCAAACTGGGCTTAGGGGGGGGGGACAAAAAACCAGGCCTTTTCCATTTCTCTCACTCACGGCCCCGACGTGTTGAGGGGGGACGCTCGCCACGCGTGACCCAACCTCTGCATCCTTCTTTTCTGAGCAGAAAGGTTCCCTGGTGGCATCCAACAAGGTGTCCTGCAAAGTGGTGGCCGTGTCCTTCTCGGAGGACAACTACTTTGTCACCGTGGGTCACCGCCACGTCAAGTTCTGGTTCCTGGAGGCCTCGAGGGAGCTGAAGGTGAGGGGCTGCCCCTTTCACTGACCCCGAACTGGGGCCGGGCACCGCTTAAATCCTCATCCCCTGAGCTGATGTGACGCGGGAGAGGGCAATTCCTGTAGAAAGAACTGAAGGAAATGCCAGGTTTTCCCCCCAGAATTCATGCTGTCTCATACCTGAGTGCCGGAACCTCACAAACCAAGCCACTAATAAACTAAAAAAACAGGATTTATTTTTTACAAGGCAAAATCCAGCTCGGTTTTACTCTGCCCTAAGCCGCTTTGAGATGGCAACGAACATCACTGGTGCTCGGGTTCAGGCTCTCGGGAAGGAGAGCTGTGGTAGGAAGGGTTTTGTTAGGTTTTTGTGCATTTTTTGTCACTTCTATCTGATGTTTTTTGGGGCAGGTGCACCTTGGAGCTTTGGCTCAGCCCGGAGCTGAGGGTGCAAAATCCCCTGGGTGCAGGGGGATGCTGCCAACGCCGCCATTTCATAGAGTCATAGAATGGTTTGGGTGGGAAGGGACCTTAAAGATCATCTCATTTCACCCCCTGCCCTGGGCAGGGACACCTCCCACCAGACCAGGTTGCTCCAAGCCCCCTCCAACCTGGCCTTGAACCCCTCCAGGGATGGGGCAGCCACAGCTTCTCTGGGCAACCTGGGCTGGGGTCTCACCACCCTCACAGCAAAGAAGTCCTTCCCCACATCTCAGCTCAATCTCCTCATTTTTGGTTTAAAACCCTTCCTCTTCCTCTTCCTCCTCCTCCGGCTCCACTCCCCAAATACCATCCCCAGAGGGATCGAAAAGCCGGTGCTGAGGGACACGGGTCAGTGGTGGGTTGGGCAGTGGTGGGTTGATGGTTGGTCTTGATGACCTTAAAGGTCCCCTCCAACCCAGAGAAGTGGTGGAATCGCCAGAGAATCACAGAAGGTTTTGGGTTGGAAGGGACCTTAAAGCTCATCCAGTTCCATCCCTTCTAGTGGCTGGGACATTTTCAATGAGACCAGGTTGCCCAAAGCCCCGTCCAACCTTGGCCTTGAACCCCTCCAGGGATGGGGCAGCCACAGCTTCTCTGGGCAACCTGTTCCCAGTGCCTCATCACCCTCACAGGAAAGAATTTCCCTCGTTAACACTCGTTAATGGTGGCACTACCCCTCCTCTTTGCAGGTGACGGAGACGGTGCCGCTGGTGGGCCGCTCGGGGCTGCTGGGAGAGCTCCTGGACAACGTCTTCTGCGGGGTGGCCTGCGGCCGGGGAGTGATGTCGGGCAGCACCTTCTGCATCTCCTCCTCGGGGCTGCTCTGCCGCTTCAACCAGAAGCGGGTGCTGGAGAAATGGGTCATTCTGCAGGTAATGGGGGGCACCCTGGGGACACCCCCGCTGTGGGGTGAAGCCCCATGGCAGGGACCTGACCCCCTGCGGCTGCAGGTGCCGCTGGCGAACTGCCTCTGCCTCGGCGAGGAGCTGATCTTCTGCGGCTGCGCCCAAGGCACCGTCAGGGTTTTCCGGGCCAGTGACATGTGCTACCTGAGTGACCTCCCCAAACCTCACCCCCTGGGCGTGGATGTCACCCAGGATTCCCCACCGAGGTACCCCACAGCCCCTCTGTACCCCCTCTCAACTGCCCAGCACGGTTTCGGACCCCATTGCTCATCTTGATGGAGATCTAAGCTGAGATAGAATCATATGGGGTTGGAAGGGACCTCTGGAGATCATCTCCTCCAACCCCCGGCCAGAGCAGGTCCCACCCAGAGCAGGTCCCACAGGAACATGTTCAGGGGGTTTGAATGTCTCCAGAGAAGGAGACCCCACCACCTCCCTGGGCAGCCTCTGCCAGGGCTCTGCCACCCTCAAAGTCAAGAAGTTCCTCCTCATGTTTAGATGGAACTTCTTCTGTTCAAGTTTGTGCCCATTTCCTCTTGTCCTGTCCCTGGGCACCACTGGGACCAGCCCCGTCCTCCTGACACCCATCCTTTAATTATTTATAGGTGTTGATCAGATCCCCCCTCAGCCTTCTCTTCTCCAGACTCAAAAGCCCCAAGTCCCTCAGCCTCTCCTCATCAGAGAGATGCTCCAGGCCCCTCATCATCTTTGTAGCCTCTGCTGTCCCCTCTGCAGCAGTTCCCTGTCCTTCTGGAACTGGGGAGCCCAGAACTGGTCCCAGTGCTCCAGCTGGGGCCTCCCCAGGGCAGAGCAGAGGGGCAGGATGACCTCCCTGGACCTGCTGGTCACCCTCTTCCTGATGCCCCCCAGGATGCCATTGGCCTTCTTGGCCACAAGGGCAAAGTGGTGATGATGAGGATGGGAGGGGGGGCGTCAGGCTTCCCAGGGAGTCCCACAGCTTCATTTTCTGCTTCGTTTTGGGGCCACGTGTCGGGATACGGTCACCGTTTTGATTTGCAAACCCAACCTGTCTCCGGCGGAGCGCTTGGTGGGCTCCAGGGAGGTCAAAAATGCAAAAAATGCAGCTTCTTCCTTGAGATGAGACCCGACCCCGTCACCTTCCCCGCAGGAGGATGGACCTGGAGTACCCCGACACCGTGGCCTTGGCCTACGACGCCCGTCGCCGCTGGCTCTCCTGCGTCTACAAGGACCACAGCGTCTACGTCTGGGACGTCGGGGACCTGCAGGACGTCAGGAAGGTCTGGTCAGACCTTTTCCACAGCTCCTTCGTCTGGAGCGTCGAGGTGAGAGGGAACGGGTCCCACGGGGGCGATTTGGGGCACCCACAGCCTCCTTTTCCTTCCCCTCCCCGTGACACGTGACCACCCCCGCAGGTGTACCCCGAATTCGAGGAGGGGAGGTCCCCTCTGCCGCCCGGCTCCTTCCTGACGTGCTCCTCGGACAACACCATCCGCGCCTGGACCCTGGGAGGCAGCTCTGGGTGTCCCTACAGCACGGTACCGGGGGGGCTGCGGTGTCACCCCCTTCCCTGCTCCTAGCATCACCCCAGCAGCTGAGGGAGCCCAACCACCCCCCCCGTGCTCTCCTCCTGTGGGATTTGCCTCTAGAAAACGAGGTTGCTGGAGGTTTGGTGGAGTCATAGGGTGGTCTGGGTTGGAAGGGACCTTTCAGGTCCTCGAGTCCAACCCTCCACTGACAAAACCCACCACTGACCCCACGTCTGCCCGGCTTTTAGACACCTCCAGGGGTGGAGGCTCCACCACTGCCCTGGGCAGCCTCTTCCAAGGCTTGACAGCCCTTTGGGTGAGGAAATTTTTCCCAATATCCATCCTAAAGCTCCCCTGGTGCCACCTGAGGCCATTTTCTCTTGTCCTGTTCCTTGGGAGAAGAGACCGACCACCCCCTGGCTACACCCTCCTTTCAGGGAGTTGGAGAGAGCGAGAAGGTCTCCCTCTCTGGGGAGGGAGCTGCTCCTGAGCAGGAGAGGAGCGGTGATTTTGGGTGGGTTTTGGTGATTATAGCGAGCCTGGAAAACGGTCTTCTGTCCTCCTGCACCTGCTGTTTGTGGCTGAAGGACCGAAGGACACGGTTGTGCTTCTGAAATGCTGGGGTTTCCCGAGTGGGAAGGGTGGAAAAACGAAGCGGGGATGTGTGAAGCAGTGGGGTGACGGGGGTGGGCTCCTCTCCCCGCTTATAGAGCCCCCCTGTGCCCTGCCAGGGGTCTAATTGTCCCCTCTCTCCCCCCACTCCCTGCCCCAAGAACCTGCGCGACATCATCTACGTGGACAACGACACGCGGCACCTCCAGGACCCCTCCAGCCCCGCTGACCGGAGCGAGAACCTGGGTCCCCTGGACGTGAAATCCGGGGTGCGGGTGCTGCAGGTCAGCCCCGACGGGGAGCACCTGGCCTCAGGGGACAGAGCAGGAACCCTCCGGCAAGTGGCAGCCCAAAGCCCACCCCTCCTTTCAACCTTTTCCTGCCCAAAACCCCCCCTGGTTACGGTGTGCTCCCCCGGCAGGATTCACGAGCTGCGGTTCATGCAGGAGGTGGCCAAAGTGGAGGCTCACGATTCCGAGGTCCTTTGCCTGGAGTATTCCAAGCCGGAGACCGGTGAGGCTTTGTCCCGACAGCGATTGGTGCCCACAAGACGCCACAAAAACCCCCTATTCTCATAAAATCATAGAATGGTAGAATCGTCTAGGTTGGAAGGGACCTTCGAGATCATCTAGTCCAACCATCAGCCTAACTCTGACCCAAAAACCCCATCCCTATGGTTATTTTAACGCTCTCTTCTCCGTCGCCTCCAGGCGCGGCGCTGCTGGCTTCGGCGAGCAGGGACAGGCTGATCCACGTCCTGAACGTAGACAAGAACTACAGGCTGGAGCAGACACTGGACGACCACTCCTCAGCCATAACGGCCGTCAAATTTGCTGGTAGGGGGTGGGATGGCCCCCAAAGCCCCCTCCTCCCCCCACGCCGGGCTGCCTTTCGCCTTGTTCCCCCTCGAAAATGGGGTTTTTCTCTCTGGATTTACGGACGTAAACGTCGATGTCTGCGGTAGAGGGGGCTCCTTGGGAGAAAACAGGCACCTCCAGACGAAGAGCACCAAGCCATCCATTGGGGGAGGGGGCGTAGTGGGGGGATCCCACCCTTGGATCTTAAAAGAATCAGTTTTTTATGGATTATGAATCATAAAGAAGCATTTTTGGGGATGGACTCAGTGATGAATTTAGACCCTGATCACCTTTCCCTCTGCTCTCTCCGCTCAGGCAGCGGGGATCTCCAGCTGATCAGCTGTGGTGCTGATAAGAGTATTTATTTCCGCGACGCTCAAAAGGTGGGTTGGGGGTGTCTCCGGGGGGAGACCTTCCAGCTGGAGGTCCCCAGGGGTCAGTGCTGGGTCCAGTCCTCTTCAATATATTCATGGATGACCTGGATGAAGGGATGGAATGTCCCCTCAGCCTTCTGTGCTGCCATCCAGTGAGACCTGGGCAGGCTGGAGAGTTGGGCAGAGAGGAACCTGATGAAGTTCCACCAAGGGCAGGTGTAGGTGCTGCCCCTGGGGAGGAATCACCCCCCAAAGCAGGACAGGGTGGGGTGACCTGCTGGTGAAAGACCTGGGAGTCCTGGTGGACACCAAGATGCCCATGGGCCAGCAATGGGCCCTGGTGGCCAAGAAGGCCAATGGCATCCTGGGGGGCATCAGGAAGAGGGTGGAGAACCTCGAGGGAGGTCATCCTGCCCCTCTGCTCTGCCCTGGGGAGGCCCCAGCTGGAGCACTGGGACCAGTTCTGGGCTCCCCAGTTCCAGAAGGACAGGGAACTGCTGGAGAGGGGACAGCAGAGGCTACAGAGATGCTGAGGGGAGGAGAACATCTCTCTGGTGAAGAAAGGCTGAGGGACTTGGGGCTTTTGAGTCTGGAGAAGAGAAGGCTGAGGGGGGATCTGACCAACACCTATAAATACTTCAAGGGAGGGTGTCAGGAGGACGGGGCTGGTCTTTTTCCAGTGGTGCCCAGGGACAGGACAAGAGGAAATGGGCACAAATTTGAACGTAAGAGGTTCCACCTAAAGGTGAGGAGGAACTTCTTGACATTGAGGGTGGCAGAGCCCTGGCAGAGGCTGCCCAGGGAGGTGGTGGAGTCTCCTTCTCTGGAGACATTCAAACCCCACTTGGACACGTTCCTGTGGGACCTGCTCTGGGTGGGACCTGCTCTGGCCAGGGGGGGGTTGGAGGAGATGATCTCCAGAGGGTCCCTTCCAACCCCATGTGATTCTATGATCTGCTCTTTCTCCCCAAAATCTTGAAGGGCTGAGAAGGCAATGTGTCTCTCCCATCTCCCTGCAGCTCCCAGATGGCTTCCATTTCATCAGGACGCATCACGTCGCGGAGAAAACCACCCTCTATGACATGGACATCGACAGCGTGCAGCAACACGTCGCTGTCGCCTGCCAGGACAGAAACGTGAGGTGAAGGGGCTTTTCCACCGCACCTTTCTCCTGCTGTCCCCGCTGTCCCCTTGGTGGGGCTCGTGGCCACCTCCCGTTCCTCCCGCAGGGTCTACAGCACGGCCACCGGGAAGCTGAAGCGCTGCTACAAGGGCTCCCAAGGGGACGAGGGCTCCGTGCTGAAGGTAAGAGGGCAATGTCCACCACTCGTTGGCCATCGGGGTGTCGGCAGCGGCTCCCCCCGGGTGCAGGAGGGGGCTGCAGTGGGGCAGGATGGTCTGAGGGGCTTGGGGTGAGCCCTCGGTACCCTCAAGGGAAGTCGCTGCCATCCAGAGGCACCTGGAGACCTTGGCCAACGGGAACCTCATGAAGTTCAACAAGGCTGAGTGCAAGGTCCTTCAGCTGGGTGGGGGCAACCCCCATCATGATATGGGATGGATGGATGGATGGATGGATGGATGGATGGATGGATGGATGGATGGATGAAGAGCAGCAGCAGATGATACCAAGCTGAGTGGTGCCCTCAGTACCCTCAAGGGAAGTCTCTGCCATCCAGAATCACCCGGAGACCTTGGCCAACAGGAACCTCATGAGGTTCAACAAGGCCAAGCACAAGGTCCTGCAGCTGGGTGGGGGCAACCCCCATCCTGATACAGGCTGAAGGAGGGAGAGGATGGATGGATGGATGGATGGATGGATGGATGGAGAATCACCCGGAGACCTTGGCCAACGGGAACCTCATGAGGTTCAACAAGGCCGAGCACAAGGTCCTGCAGCTGGGTGGGGACAACCCCCATCCTGATACAGGCTGAAGGAGGGGAGGGAGGGAGGGATGGATGGACGGATGGATGGAGAGCAGCCCTGTGGAGAAGGACTTGGGGACACTGGTGGGTGGCACATGGGACTGAGCCGACAACGTGCTCTGGGAGCCCAGGAAGCCGAGCGTCTCCTGGGCTGCAGGTCGAGGGAGGGGATTCTCCCCCTCTGCTGCGCTGAGACCCCCCTGCGTCCAGCTCTGGGGGTCCCTGGCACCAGTCAGGCAGGGACCTGCTCGAGCGGGTCCGGAGGAGGCCCCGGGGATGGTCCGAGGGCTGGGGCTGGTCAGCCTGGAGAGGAGACGGAGACCTCGCTGCGGCCGTTGGGTACCTGAAGGGGGGTAGGAAAGATGGAGAGAGAGACTTTGAGCAGGGGCTGCGGGGACAGGACAAGGGGTGACGGCTTTGAACTGCCAGAGGGTGGGTTTGGTGGGACACGAGGAAGAACTTGTTTGGTGGGAGGGTGGTGAGACCCTGGTCCAGGTTGCCCAGAGAAGCTGTGGCTGCCCCATCCCTGGAGGGGTTCAAGGCCAAGGTTGGAGGGGGCTTGGAGAGACCTGCTCTGGTGGGAGGTGTCCGGGGGTGGAACTAGATGGTCTTTAAGGTCCCTTCCCACCCAAACCCTTCCATGACTCCATGAGCAGGGATGTCTCCACCCAGCCCAGGCCACTCAAAGCTCCATCCAACCTGACCTTGAAGGTTCCCAGGGACGGGGCATCAAAGAGGAGAGATTGAGATGAGATTTTGGGGAAGAAATTCTTCCTTGTGAGGGTGGTGAGAGCCTGGGCCAGGTTGCCCAGAGAAGCCCCATCCCTGGAGGGGTTCAAGGCCAAGGTTGGAGGGGGCTTTGGACAACCTGGTCTCATTGAAGATGTCCCAGCCACTAGAAGGGAAGGAACTGGATGACCTTTAAGGTCCCTTCCAACCCAAAACCTTCTGTGATTTCTCTGGCGATTCCACCACTTCCCTGGGTTGGAGGGGACCTTTAAGGTCCTCAAGACCAACCATCAACCCACCACCAACCAACCCACCAACACCCAGGTTGCCCAGAGAAGCTGTGGCTGCCCCATCCCTGGAGGGGTTCAAGGCCAATGTTGGACCAAGCACAAGGTCCTGCAGCTGGGTGGGGGCAACCCCCATCCTGATACAGGCTGAAGGAGGGAGAGGATGGATGGATGGATGGATGGATGGATGGATGGATGAAGAGCAGCAGCAGATGATACCAAGCTGAGTGGTGCCCTCAGTACCCTCAAGGGAAGTCTCTGCCATCCAGAATCACCCGGAGACCTTGGCCAACAGGAACCTCATGAGGTTCAACAAGGCCAAGCACAAGGTCCTGCAGCTGGGTGGGGGCAACCCCCATCCTGATACAGGCTGAAGGAGGGAGAGGATGGATGGATGGATGGATGGATGGATGGATGGATGGATGGATGGAGACAAGGAGGGAGGGAGGGA